CTTAGAATTTTTGTTTGTTTTGCTTCATTTTTTCAGTCAATTGATTGGTTTAGCTTCGTCCTTTTTGGTGAATTTGTTGCTGGGCCATGGCTATTTCCCGAATTCTGCGTTTTTTGTTTACTGGGTTTTGCTAATTTTGTGATTTGTAACTGAAAGCGCTGAACTTTCCCTTTTTTAAGGGGTCTATGGCGGCGCTGGAGGTGATAGGGTAAAGAACCGTTTTTTTTTAAGGGGTTTGCAAAAATCCCGACGGAATAGTTTCGTAACAGGACTGTAGAATTTCCCGCAACCTTTTGCCCACTCTTGCGAGTTTGTGCATTAATTGTCGTTATTAGTTATTAATTTCTTGTATCTGTGTACTTGTCTTCTTGATTTTCCATTTTGACTTTTGCTGTTCCTATCTTTGGCTAGTGTGCCTCTGTTTTTGTTTCCTGATTTGGCTTGTAATAACTAATAAAGGTGGACATATATATGTGATCTGACCACGAATTTTTTCGATTTACTTGTAATTTATGTGATGATGGGGTGCTGCTGCTGTGAGCGATTTTCGATGTAGACGGCCAATTAATCACGTATTGCGTATGATACAAAATGGTCATATATAGAAAGCTTCAATAGTTCAATTTGATGCTGATACGGTTGAGGTACTAAACACTGCGAAAGGGGGAGGTATTGTAGGGCATAACATATGAGTAAATGATAATGTGGTTATAGTTTCAGCCAATTGTTATCGAGCTTGGATTTATCAGACAAAATGTTTGAATACTTGCATATGTATTTTGCAATTCGAAATTCATTCCCCGTGTTTCGAGTCGTCATATGCAAGTATAACAGTTGACGTGTGATGCTTATTTTAGAGGTCGGTTCTTAGGCAGTAGACAGTGTCTCTAAACTGATTTCTTTTGATTAGGCTCAGATTCATCTGAAATTTGACCTTAGTTGATAGAAATGATGTTCTCCAAATTTGGCTCTATATTTTGATGTAGTGCAATGCAAAACATGAATTTCGTGCTGTTCTGTTTAAAATTTTAACTGTTGCATATTGATTATCCAATTTCTGTGGGTGCTATGGATTCTCAGGTGGTAAACTAAAATTTCGTTTTCTGCAGGTTGAGTTTACTTTTACCAAAAATGTAAGTGTCTGTTCGTATAAAGCGTGCTGCAGCGGGAAAGGACTACCCGGTAACAACTGAGGTTCTTAACACTTTTCTCATTAAAAGGTAGAGTTATCTTATGTTTCCTTAGTAATCAATAAAATTGTTCTTTCACTTCTTTCAACGTGCACTCATGGTTTTGTGTAAGAAAATGAGTTTACTCTTATAAAAA